GGAGTCGCCTGTGCGAGCGCACGAGGCGCAGGAAGCCAGCGGTCCCTCCACAACACTTCCTGGGCCCCCGCCCACCGCAGGAGGAGAGGATCACTTGCGTCCGGAGAGCAGAGGAGAAGAACAAATAGCTTCTTCCTCTTCTGCAGCTGGGGGCGTGCCTGCTGTCGACAGTCCGACTCAAGAGGGCACGGTGGGGAACGCCGCCGGGGCCCCACCGCCTGAGAGCGCGGTGCAACGAAGCCCGGTCCAGCGCGACAATACCCCCGCAGCTACGGCAGTCGCTGGGGAAGCTTCAGAAGCGGCACAAGACACTGCCGGTGGCGGGGAAAGTAATAACTTCGGAAGTAACAGCGGCAGCGGCCCCGCGGCGCAGCCGCAGCTCGCGAGTTCCGTGGGGACAAACGAAGGCGGTGGTGCACAACAAACGGAGCAGCTCGCAGTGCCCACACCCAAACAGAAACCCGAAACGAGTGGTGAGAGAGGAGAAGCCGCTCAGCCGGCAGCTGGGGCGGCTGCTCAAGCGGCAGCCACCACCAATTCGACGACTGCAGCGAAGGCGGCGCCCGGCGACAGCGACGGCAGCACCGCCGCGGCCTCGCACTCCGCCTCCCCACTTGCGCTGCTTCTTCTGCTTGCGTGTGCGGCTGCCGCTGCGGTGCTGGCTGCGTGAGAGACAGAGTGAGAGGGAGAAGGCCGTGCACACACAGCTCGCCCTTTTCTGTTTCTTTCACGTTCTTTTTGTTTCCCTGCACGGACTCTCTCGCTCTCGCCGCGCCCCACGCGGCACACACACATAATGTGCTCGTATATATACACAACTCCACTCATGCAGGCCCGTCGGTCTTCCTTTTTTCTTTTGCCCCCGACTAGCCGCTGCCGTCTTGTTTGGCTGCATAGGTACAGCACCGTAACTGTTTTTATCCTTTTTTAGTTTGTTTGTTTTCATTGCTTTCAGTGGGCGACCTCTCTTGCTTCTCTCTCTCTCTTCCTGGACTGGGCTGTGCGGGAACAGAGAGAGAGATGGAGTGTGTGCTGGTCGTCCCACGTGTTGCTGCGCGTTCCCACTGCTCGGTGGACGCACCCCCACGCTTCGGCTTCACTTCACGAGGTTTTGTTTGTTTTGTTTTGTGTGTTTGTTGCTTGGCTGCACCCATTGCGCGGGCTGCTGAAGTGTGATGTGTGTGCGTGTGCCACAACCTTCGGGCGCCCCCCTCTCTTTCTCTCTCTCTCGCCGCGTGGCTGCGTGGGGTGGTGTGTGTCTGTGTGCACATTTTTTTTCTCTTTCCCCCTCTCATTCTCCTTTTGGCTGGTGGTCGGTGTGCAGCCGCAGCGCAAGACAACAACACCTACAACAGAGTAAGAAAATCAAGAAGAAATGACTGAAAGAAGCGGAGAAGAAACTCACGCTGCCGCGGAGAGCCCCGCCACTAATGCGCAGAGGCGGCACGCGAGGCCGGGGTCCGACGGCGGCGGTTCCAATCAACCCCCTGCACAGCGCCGAGGGGTGGAAGAGGCACCTGCGGGACCACAGTGGACCCTTTACAGTACCGTGGAGGAAGTGCTGCTGGCGGGATTAGATGCTACAAGGCAAATGACGCTAAACGATTTTATCAGGAAGTACGTTGATCCCAATTTCGTGCTCGAAGGCCGCAATGTGATGATGGGGGTGTTTGCGCGTAGGCCTGAGCACTACATCAGTGACGAGCGGCTCCTACGAAGAATTATTGATTCACCAGAGTACCAGACAGAGTGTCAGCGCCGGGAGGACGCACGCAATCTACGTGCGGACGCACGCAAGCTAATGGAGCACGACGCGGGTAATCTCCAACGCTGGAAGGACTTCCATCAGAAGGGCATCGTTGCTGCTATTACGAGGAGGAAACTCAACGCCGCCCTTGAGGTGGCGGAGGTACTCGAAAGGGCGTGGCGGGTGAAGGAAATTGCCAGACGGCCGTTGCCGGAGGGCTTCTACGACTCTGTGCTCAAGGCGAGGTGGAGCCACGTCTTGGGGTTTCCCGAGGGCGAAGGGGAGGACGAAGTGGAGATGCGGATGGAGGTGAAGGCGGGCCAGGCGCCAGCACATTCGTGGGAGTACAAGATGCAGGGCACAAC